GAAGTGAAGAGGCCATGACATGAAGCTAATTTGATTGACACAACTCGCTACATCACCAAAATTGACAAGTTTTGTTGCTGTACCTATGTATATTTTTGACCCAGCAGATTTGGTGACATTTTCAGCAGACCCATAATAAATTTATGAAAGAACAAAATTTTATGACTGTTTTTTGTGACAAACATGTATGTGTTCCGATCACTCTATCACAGAAAAATAAGAGTTGTAGAACTTATTGAAAACTCAAGACAGCCATAACATTATGTTTTTTTACAAGTGTATGTAAACTTTTGACCACAACTGTATATTAATGACAAGTTTTATACTTCCTACATTTTGTGATGTCACAAGCCATACGACAACCCACCAGAACCTGCGTTCAGCCCCTCACCTAGCAACCCCCGGGTGAGGCTCCTCCTCCTCCTCAGTATAAAAAGTCGTCACGGTTGTTGTTGCGCAGCTCATTTTACAACAAGCCTTTCAATAGGGCAATGGGTAGAGTGTTGAACCAGAGAGCGGGAGACCAGGGTTCGAGACCAACATGGACCCAAACAATTTTAGAATTTTCGTTCGTTATGAACACGTTTTCTCATGTACCTCTATTGTTTAGCTTTAGCCTATTTGTTTGAGTTTCTGAGGTATTTTGACCGCGACTGTCGCGGCGAACAACAAACTCACTAAAAGCAACATCCTCCAAAAAAATATGAAGCTAGGGTAAAGTTTAGGACAGAACAAAACCCCAGCGGTTATTTATTTATCTGTAGAAACGGAGCTTCTGCTAGCACTAGCCATGCTAACGTAAACACTGGCTTTGGAGGGCGTTACCAACAGAGCTCATCAACATAAAAAGCTCGTTCTGAATGGAAGTCAGAGCAGGCAGAACTAGAAAATGGGAAATTTTATTATCTGAGAATTGTTTTGTGCATTAAATTGAATGAAGATGGTCTGGATAGCCCGCAGATATACCATAAACATTTCTAGGACCCCTAATTGGTCCACTTTAAAAAATCAGCCCTAAGCCACGCTTGGACCTGGAACTATGAAATTTGGTCCACATGTGTAACGGCTCAGGACCTACAAAAATGTCTCTAGGAGTCATGGTCCAAATGCCACAGGAAGTCGGCCATTTTGTCTCTTCTGGCACATGTATCTGAGCTAACCCCCCTTCAGCTTTGACACATGCAGTGATTCAGCTCTCACTGTGTTTTAGCAAAAAGTGGTTTCTTTAGTTTCATTCTGGGATGCTGCAGTTCAGATTTGTTTCTGTCTGCTCCTCAGCTCAGCTCAGAGACATCGCTTACGGCACCAAGACCTTCGTCTTCAGACCGGACGTCCCAGGTGAGGATGAGGAAGACGGCTTTGATGAACCTCTCCAGCTGGACCGTGGAGAAAACCTCCTGGAGCTTCAGATCGTCGGCGCCACGCTGTCTCCCGCCGCCCTGCAGACGCTGGGTGACGCAGAACCCTCCACCTTCTGCACGTACGCCTTCTACCTGTTCGAGCTGCACGCCACTCCGGTGGCGACGGGCCGCAGTCCCAAATACGGCTACACCTCCAGGTACGTGGTGAGCACGGACCAGAACTTCCTGGACTACCTGCACAGGTGCTCGGTCACAGTGGAGCTGCACCAGGCGCTCGGTCTGGACTGGAGGACCGTGGCGACGGGGCGGCTGCGGCTGCAGCAGCTGATGGAGCGGAGCGGGAAGGTCCATGGCAGCATCCCGCTGGTCGGTGGGTCTCAGCTGACAGAACCACTTCAGCTTCTTATTCTCATCATTTTACAGCTAAAATGTTGTTTGAACCGAGAATCAAACATTTCAGAGAAAAACATCTGGCCTGATGTTTATTAATAAATCATAAAAAGATAAATATTCATGTGTTGTAAACTGTCACTGTGCTCCAGCAGGATTTATTCAACCAGCTGCTGCTCTCAGCTCAAAAACATGTGTGTTTGTCAGGAGCACAGGAGGAGGCCCGCAGCTTCGGCTCCCTGGATTACTGGGTCCGACTGAAGGTCCCGATGATGGAGACGGTCCGATTGTACCGAGACAAGCTGAAGGCTGCAGAATTCATCCAGTCTGCCAGTCCACACACACAGGTACTGAATCCTGTACGAGTCCTGTACACTGAGTCCTGTACTGAGTCCTGTACTGAGTCCTTTACTGAGTCCTGTACTGAGTCCTGTACTGAATCCTTTACTGATTCCTGTACTGAGTCCTGTACTGAGTCCTGTACTGAATCCTTTACTGATTCCTGTACTGAGTCCTGTACTGAGTCCTGTACTGAATCATTTACTGAGTCCTTTACTGAGTCCTGTACTGAATCATTTACTGAGTCCTGTACTGAGTCCTTTACTGAGTCCTTTACTGAGTCCTGTACTGAGTCCTTTACTGAGTCCTTTACTGAATCCTTTACTGAGTCCTTTACTGATTCCTGTACTGAATCATTTACTGAGTCCTGTACTGAATCATTTACTGAGTCCTTTACTGAGTCCTTTACTGAGTCCTTTACTGATTCCTGTACTGAATCATTTACTGAGTCCTGTACTGAATCCATTACTGAGTCCTTTACTGATTCCTGTACTGAATCATTTACTGAGTCCTGTACTGAATCATTTAC